GGGTTCGCTGCGCGCGGATAGAGGGTGCGGGCCGCCTGGCGGGCGGAACACGCCGGGTGTCACCGCAGCGGCGCTGTTGGCGGGAGGGGCTCGCCTTCAAGGCCTGGTCGGAGGTTGGGCGCGCAGGGTTCCCAGCCACTGCGCCAGGGGAGGGAGCACCCGAGCCCGCGCGTCCCCGGCTGGCGGGGCGCGCGTCCGCGGGCCGGACGCTGGTGACAGCGACCCGAGGGCAGACCAGAGCTCATCGCGTCTCGGAGTTCCCATATGCCACCCCTTCCTGCTGGCATTTTCCGTCCCCTGAGGGGACGGAAACCCTGCTCTGCATTGGTTCCCAATTCCAGCCACTCGTTCTCAGAAGGGCACGCACCTGCTGCCCAGGTGCCCACCCCACCCCCTAATCCCTGTCTGCAGGTGCCCTCTGGGCCGAGAAGATGGGCACCAGGGGCGACAAGGCACCTTTGGTTAAGACAGCTGGAGGTGGTGACTTTGACCGCCCTTTGATGCCACCAGTTGGGAGTCGGGGCTCTGCCCACCGCAGGTACAGAGAGCAGGCTTGGCGGTGGGCCTCTTGGGTGGGGACTGCAGGCCAAAGGTTGTCTGGGTGTCGCCCTGGTATCTGTGGACTGTTGGGTTATCAGCTGCCTTTGTGGCTGCAGGGCCGCGTTCCTTTATGCAGCTGTTCTCAGTAGGGCCCTCAGGCTGATGGTGCCCCTGGGATCCCTCCTTGGTCAGCAGGTGGCAGGCAGGCAGTTTTCAGCAGGATGTGGTTGGTAGATTTGCCCCTGCTGGGGGTGCAGCTCCGTCAACACACAAGTGGCACCAGCAGAGAGGCCTGCAGACTCTTTTCACCCAAGGGCTGCAGCCAGAGGAGCAGACCCAGACTAGACAAGTGCCAGCCTCCAAAGACTGCCCCCTTCCTGCACCCAGCCAGCCCCGAGCTTCCCTGTGGCTTGATCCTCATCTAATCTTCTCTGGGGTTCTGATAAAGCTTAGCAGGGTGATGAGGGCCGCAATTGGAAGTTTGAGTCTCCCTGCCCCAAGGCTGGGCAGAACCCCTGGTTTCTCCCGTCTTTCCCCGCCCCCCCCCAACTCTAGACTGCTGTGTAAATGAACCAAGGCGCTGTCCACCAGACCTGTGAGCCAGCTGGCTGTTCTCAGTGGGGTTAAGGGTGACCTTCTGAGAGGCTGATACAATCTAGAAATCCAGGCAGGATTTCATAACAGTAATAAAACTCACCCCCTGGGTCTGCAGGTTCACCTCCAGGTGGGCCATGCTCCCTCTTAACTCCTGCTAACCACACCTGCTGGGACTGTCAAGCAGGCTGCTTGACCTTGGGCGCATGCACTGTACCGATTTCTTGTTGCTGCCTGAGCCAGCCTGAGGAGGCATGTTCAGAGTATTTGTCCACCTTTGGCTTCTGGCCAAAAGGAAGTCCATAAAGGCAGCAAAATCCCAAGCCCCCAGCAGCTGATCCCTGTCTGACTCCCAGCAGCCCCCTAGGCCGGAGGGGAATGACTCCTTCCCTGGGGTTTCTGAGACTGTGAGACTTTATGGCAGCCTCATCTCCATCCAGAGGGTTTGAACTACTGACCTTGCAGTTAGCAGCCCACCATGTACCATGTTGTGTGTGTCACCTGTGAGCCTGGTTTGTCTGCCTTGACAACCGTGTCCATGGTGGGCAGAGTGTTTCCCATTAGAAGCAGCAGTTCATCCTCCCAGTGCAGCCCCAGGCCTTGTCCAGAGAAGACACGAGTCCTTTCCTCGAAGGTTTCTTCTGTTCCTGCACACAGGCTCCTTGGGCTCATGCCTCCCAGGGGGAGTCACCATGAGAGTCCTGTAGGTAGTGAGACTCAGCTGGTCCAGCAGAGGTGGGCACGGCTTGCTCTGGGCACACGAGACTGGCACAATGATGGAACTGGATTTTGAAGGGTGGTATGAAGTGACCATAGCAGGCAGGGAAGGGGGGGACAACTTTCGTGCAATGGAAAGGCGGGCGGAGAGGGTCAGGTTAGCACACGTTACCACTCGGCTGGGAGCGGGTACCAGGGAGTCCCATATGGCTGGAGCGGGCCTGAGCTCTGAGAACAGAGAGGGCTCAGGTACCAGACAGGAAAGTGTGATTCCTGAGCCTGGCAGGATGCCACTACAGGACTGCAGCGTCTCAGTGGCCTGGTCAGGTGAGTGTTTTCCAGAGAGGACAGGGAGGGGCGGCTGCAGCCCAGCAGTGAGACAGGACCACCGTGGTGGTGCGGCTGGTTAGGCGAAGGGCTGTTCACCTCAAAGTCATCAGTTCCAACCCACAAGCTGCTCCAATGGAGAAGAAAACAAGGCTGCCTGTTCCGTAAAGATGCACCGTGAGTCTGAACAGGCCGCGGAGGTGGGACGGCAGGGGAGGAGGGATCAGAAAGGGTTAGGAGGCCTCAGGGAGAATGAGTGCAGCCGCCTGGGTGCGAGAGGAAAAACCCCACTGCCGTCGGGACCATTCCAATGCCCAGCGGCCTTGCAGGGTGGGGGCACTGCCCCCAGTCTGCCCACAACCGGACACCTCAACCATTCAGCCAGCAGCCCAGCACTTAGCCCTGACAAGGGCCGCCCGAGCCCCGGAGTCGGAGGAGATAGGAAGACTAACTCCAAGAGGCCCTTAACACCCCCCCTCCCAAGACTGAATAACCCCTTGCTCTTCTGTGGGGGGGGGGCGGGGGTAGGAGCCCGTGACACAGCGGTTACACATTGGGCTGCTAACTGCAAGGTCAGCAGTTCAAAGCCACCATCAGCTCCTTAGGAGACTGCCAGGGCTTTCTACTCCCATCACGAAAAACAGTCTCAGCACCCCACAGGGGCAGTTCTACCTTGCCCGACAGGGCTGCTATGAGCTGGCACCGACTCGCTGGCAGGGAGTCTGGTTTGGTTTTCTGTGGGGGCAGGAGTCCAGGTGGCACTGTGGATTAAGCATTGGGTTGCGAAATTCAAGATGAGTGGCTCAGACCCACCAGACCGATGAGGCCCCTCCCTCCCGCCCTGGACTGGCTCCCGTGCCCTAAGGAGCAGTTCAGCCCCTCAAGAGAGTAAGCTGTTGCCACACAGTTGGTTCCAATTCAGGGTTACCCCCACCACACAGGCGCACACACCCGAGTCACAGAGTGAGACGCAGCTCCAGAGAGCGCTGTCGCTGCTGTCCTTATGCGTGCTGGACAGCAGGCCTTTCTTCCGTGGCACTGCCTGTTGGGTCCATTCGTCCAAGTTGGAAGTCAAAGGCAAACTCTTTGTAGCACCCAGGGACCTCGGTGAGGCGCTCGTGGGAAGAATGGCACCCACCCACCGGCCCAGGTGCCTTCCAGGGGCTTTCTTGCCCCCAAACAGAAGGTCCCTTTCTAAAAGGGTCCCATTTTCCTGGACAGTTGGTCCTGATGAAAAACGGCCAGGCCCGCTCCAGAGAGCCTCACTCACAGTGTCGGGGTGCCAGGCATGGGTGGCTTCAG